CAGGGTGTAAATGCAGTTATAGCAATTATCAGGGTAATATCATTTTGAAGTTTTACAATTAAAAGCACTGTACCCTCCCACAATATCTTACAAGATTTTATAGTTTCAAATTATCTATAGTTTAAAAACACCAAATTGGGAACAATGGTTAAGATGTTGCCAAATCCTTTATTTCTTTGGATTTCTTACTTTTTCACTTATCATAATGAGCTGTCAAATTTATATGGCCTATTTATTTTAGACCTTGTAATAAACCCCCTCCTTTTTTTCCTCCCAGACATGTAGAACTAATCAATGTTTGAGAATTAACTAGAAGTCTTGTAACTTTCCTGACAGCTTTTTGATCCTATAAGTCCAACATTATAGATAAATTTAAAATGTTATTGTTAAATTGAGAAGCAGTCTCAGAATGTAAAATAAATTGTTTTTATATTTAACCCTCAGTTTCATAGTATTTGTAATCTAGGTTTGTGATTATTTGGTTTTCACTTATTCCTGTTTTAGTGAACAGAAGCTAATAAAATGGCTTTTGCGATTATCGTCTGATGTACTGAAAATTATTAAAAGTAGCCATTGGCATATAAGTGTTTCTCTTTTTTTGGATTTACTCTGTATCATAAAGTTGGTAAGAGCTTTAGTTGTTGCTTTTTGGAAAAAATGCTAATAAACAGAATCTTGCCTCAGGGATATCTAGTTTACAAATTACAACAAACCACTTAAAGATAAATTCTTAATGGATTGGAAGGAATGAAGTGTTTCTCACTAGGGGTTCTGTTGACTACCAATATTTGTAACGCCCCACGTGCTTGTTAAACATTCAGATTTGGGGCTCCACTACAGCCCTGCAAAATCTGTGGGAGCTGGAGCCGGCCTCTATACTATAACAAAACCCCAGGTGGTTGAGCCTACTCAAGTTTGAGAATTGCTTGTGTCTTTTAATACCTTCCTCCCCAAATTAAATCAATTTCATCACATAGACAATAAAATAGCTTTCTGACTGATTTCTGGTACCAAAAGCATACAAACAACATTAAACAAGACACACTGGGGTTGCTAATTTTCCTTTTCTGACTGTAATAATCAAATCTTAATTTAATTGTGTTTTCTTTTTTTCTAATATTTTTATTCCTCCTAGTTGAAGTATAATATTCTTAATCTTTTATTTATTTTGATAGGGAAGTATAATGAAGTACTTTAACAGTCTGAGAAAGCTATGAAACCTCTGTCCAGAAAAATGCCTATCACATTTTTACATACAGTGTCAGGGCTTTATGGAATCTCTGTAGTTCATCATGTTCCCTAAAATAAGAAACCCTGTGCCCCTAGGACCTCATCATATAAAACAAGCCTGTGATTTAGAGACTCTTTTTTTTGCATACGTGATGATTGTTGGAGGGGCTCTTCAATGTGTGTATTATTTACTTGGTAGTCTGTAATGGTTCCTAAGGAGCTATAAGCTTGTAAAGTTGTAATTACGGAATTAAAAAAATCTATATAGTTTTTCAGATGGTTCCATAATAGCACCAATGTGTATAAACATGCAACTATGTTCTTTAAAGGTTACATTTACTCAAAAAACCGTAACAGTTTAAAAATTGTATTTTTTAAGTTTGTAGGAGAGTAAATATGGAGAAAAAATTATATTAAACCAGAGCCCATTGTCTTACCTCATATGACGTTATGACAAATTTCTACATGAGAAGACATTTTTTACGCTCAGAAATTCATTTAATGCAGCACAAAACACATTTTTTAATATAGCTCTTCTGGAGGTTCAACATCCTTAACAAAGACATGTTTAAATAACTGATTTCTTCGGAAAAAAGACCACACATATTGAAGCAGAGCACTATCAGTTGTATTCATCAGGCACACTGCAGGCCAGAAGATCAAAGCTTCTGCTTTCATAATTTCATTTAACCTCTCCAAAATGTAGTCAGCTGCCTCATATGTCAGTGCAATTGTGTTTGAAGAGTGAGAATGACAAAGATTATTGGCCTGACAAGGCTAACCTCCTAAACAAAGATGTATCAGTTTTATCTGTTGACTTGGAGAGATAGTGTGAAAGTGTTCTTTCTGCAGTTTAAAGAGTGTATTAGAGAGATATGAAACTGATAAAAGTATCCACTCCTGGGAAGAAAGGAATTTAAATATTTTCACATACTATGTATAGAACTGTCCTTCCTTCCTAACATTATCGTTTTTTTTTTTTTTTTTGTTTGTTTGTTTTGTTTTGTTTTTTGTGAGACTGAGTCTTGCTGTGTTGCCCAGGCTGAAGTGCAATGGCATGATCTCAGCTCACTGCCACCTCCGCCTCCTGGGTTCAAGCGATTCTTCCACCTCAGCCTCCCGAGCAGTTGGGATTACAGGTGCCCACCACCACTCCTGGCTAATTTTTGTGTTTTTAGTAGAGACGGGGTTTCTCCATGTTGGCCGTGCTGGTCTCAAACTTCTAACTTCAGGTGATTCGCCGGCCTCGGTCTCCCAAATGCTGAGATTACAGCCATGAGCCACCGCGCCCAGCCTCTAACATTGTCTTTTTAATTTTTGAAACTTGCTTTACAGATGAGGAATTTGAGGGAGAGAGTATGTAGGTGGAAAATAAGTTGCCCAAATTCATATGTACATTTAAGGGACAGGATAACATGGAGTTACAGAGGAATGCAGGATAAAGGTCATTAAAGCAGAAAGTACTGTTTTTAGAGCTATGCAAATAGTTCTCTCTTTAGTAGTAGAGCTTGGATGAGATTCTAGGCTGATGGACTTCAGGTCAGACTGTGTGGATCAGAATCACAGCCATATTGGGCCACCATCAAAATCAGAGCCATACTGAGTAGGAAATGAGTCAGTTATGTGGAAGCAGTTGAAGTCAGTACTGAGAAGTTATTGAAAACAGGGGGTGTGGTGCCAGACGATTTAATTAAGACCAGTCCTGGGTAAGCAACTGTGATGATGGGAATGGCTCTGAGGACACCAAATGCTAAGACAGGTGATCTCATTTTTCTTAGTTATTCTTATACAAAGGACAAGATTTTGCATACATCTTCTTTATAAGCACATATATGGACATATGGGTGTTTTATTATATATGTTCATATATATAACCTAAAGATATATATGTACATAAATTACTAGAATGTCTATTGTTTTAAAAGAAGAGTTACCATACAGGATATAACTACACAATTTATTACACAACTAATAATTAATGACTACACAATTAGTTCCTTTCTGTTTAATGACTAGAAATTCAATCACAAAGAGAAGCTATTCTTTTGAATTTCTGTTAGAATTCGCTGATGCTGTGAACAGATTCCATGTGATCGGTACATTTTTCCTTATAGATAGACTGTGTGGAAAGCAAATTGTATCAGTGATATGTGGGAAGCAAAATTATTATCAGAAGGGTATTATAATCAAAAGGGTATTATAATCAAAGGTTGGATGGCTCAATGAGGCTGGTCATGGCAATAATAACAGTTATATTCCAATGAGCCCACTGGAGTATTTCTGTTACCTCCACAGTGTTTCTGTTTTCTTCTGTTATAGACACACCAAGAATACATTTTCCCTGGACTTGTAAGTTGCAAGATGTTATTTTAATGAGGCAGCCAATTCAGGACTTGACAGATTTCTCTAAATCTTGTCCAGCAGCATCATCAAGAGCCTGTTGAGGAGGACCATTTTAGCATGTGGTCCATCCATTTGGTTCTGTTATCCACTCTGTTTCATCTGTAACACTCTCACATTCATCATATTAGAACAGCGATCATCTAGGTATCTGCCTGTTCGCTTTTTTGTTTGTTTTTGTGTCTGAGTCTCACTTTTGTCACCCAGGCTTCAGCGTGGTGGCATGATATTGGCTCACTGCAATCTCTGCTTCCTGGGTTCAAGTGATTCTCCTGCCTCAGCCTCCTGAGTAGCTAGGATTACAGGCAACTGCCACCATACCCCGCTAATTTTTGTATTTTTAGTAGAGATGGAGTTTCGCCATGTTGGCCAGGCTGGTCTCAAACTCCTGACCTCAAGTGATCCACCTGCCTCGGCCTCCCCAAGTGTTGGAGTTACAGGCGTGAGCCACTGTTCCAGGTCCTGTTTGCTTCTGAGAAGTAAATTGGCTTGTCAAAAAATGTCCCCTTTTAGTTAGTTAGCTACACTAGAAGCACCTCTACTTGAAGCAATAAAAGCACTTCTACTCTCTGGACATACAAGATGAGGAGGAGATGGTGTCTGGCCCCAGAATGTCACCAAACATCAGCAGAGCATTTACTCACCCACAAGGTGAAGCAGGAGAGAAATACAGATGGAAGAAAAGATGCACCTACCTCCCTCCTGCCGATTTTTTGCAAAAATGAAAAAAAAATGCTGGGAAGTATTAAAAAATATATATATAATCTCCAGAAACAGTACATATAGGCCTGGGGGTGTGGATTTGATGGAAAACCAACTGCATCAGTGTGTTCCAAACTTTTAAATAATATTGTACATATTATTATTAATTCTTTTTTTTTTGAGACGGAGTTTCGCTCTTGTTACCCAGGCTGGAGTGCAATGGCGCGATCTCGGCTCACCGCAACCTCCGCCTCCCGGGTTCAGGCAATTCTCCTGCCCCAGCCTCCTGAGTTGCTGGGATTACAGGCATGCGCCGCCATGCCTAGCTAATTTTTTCTTTTTTAGTAGAGACGGGGCTTCACCATGTTGACCAGGATGGTCTTGATCTCTTGACCTTGTGATCCACCCGCCTCGGCCTCCCACAGTGCTGGGATTACAGGCTTTATTATTAATTCTTATTATTAGAGACAGGTTACCACTGTCACCCAGGCTGGAGTGCAATAGCTCTATTTATGGCTTGCGGCAGCTTCAACCTCTTGGGCTCAAGCAGTCCTCCCACCTCAGCCTTCTGAGTAGCTGGGACTAAAACCACATGCCAACATAACTGTCTAATTTTTGTGTTATTTGTAGAAATAGGGTTTCACCATGTTGCCCAGGCTGTCCTCAAACTCCTGGGCTCAAGTGATCTGTCCACCTTGGCCTCCAAAGTGCTGGGATTATAGGCATGAGCTACCGTTCCTGGTAATAGTGTACATATTAATATCTCTTGAATTTCCTGGAGCTTTTCATATATGAAAAATTATCTCTCTCTCTTCTGACCCTCTCTCACATACTTTTCTCCCTCTCTCTTTTGTATTCATGTTTTATCTCCTTGTCTCTAATTCAGTTACACTCAGTGTTTGGCTCTTTGAGGAAGCCTACCAGAAATACCAACTCCATTTCCGGAGTGCATGCAGTATGCCAGGTGTGTGGCCAGGTATCTTCGCAACATCTCTCCTGCCCACCCCAGCTCTGCCACTCAGGTGTTCTTCAGAGGTATCCTGTAGGGTCAATGGAGGATTAGAGACACTAGGTGGGTCCATATCAATAGGCTCCCAAATCTGTGTTCTTCCTACACCATGTCACCCGCTGTGCCTATTAAATGATGCACTTGGGGACAGATAATGGCTTCCAGTAAGTGTTCAGTTCACAATTACCACCAGAGCCTTTAAGAGTTCCGTCTACTTTTAATAAATACTTCTAATAAATCATGACCAAAAGAAGCTAAGTAAATGTAAATTGAAGCCAGAAACAAATAAGAGGAAGTCTATTTCATTTTAGTAGCATTTTTTAGAGGTCAGAAGCAAAGCTTTCTAAATATCTGTTCAGGGTCTAATATTATATTGTATGTGTGTCCCAAATTAATTCAGTCTATAAAGGTCAATAATGTAAAATGTATTCATGTGTTCAGGTAAAAATTTATGTTGTGCTATAATGTGATGGTGTTTGACTAGTTTACAGCCCTGGTGATACACCTTTGGAAGACATTTGGAAGTGATAAAACAAGGGCAGATTTTTTTCATTTTCTTATAGAAACAGTAACCTGAAAGTCATACTAAGTTTTATTGAGATTCAATCCCTAGGTAACATTAAAGTAAGTGTTTATCTCTCTAATTCTGTCATTTTAGGGAGAAAATCTAGAAAATATGCCAATTAATCATGTAGTTAGATAATTCATTATCTTCATCTGTGTAGAAAACACTAGAGTGTGAAATGTAACCTGCACGTTTTATTTGTTACTTTTTCCTAGATTGTCCTCTAAACTGGACCTTAAGCACAGTTATATTTCACATTTTTGGTTAAATTTCTCCTCTGGTTTAATTTTCCTTTAATTTGTTTTGGTACCTGATGTATCAAAATTTTACTTATACTGTAACATTGCCAATTAGCTAGGTATTATAGAAAGCAGGAAAATTAAATAAGGTGTTAATAGATTAAACACACATGCATATGATAATTTGATGTCATTTAATTTGTATATCTGGGAACAAACTTGGAATGAAAAATATATATTCGTAATCATTATTATTACTACCACCTTCGTTCTTCTAAAGGCTATAATAAAATCAAGACGTTTTCAATCTGGATTCCAGCTTTGTCACTTACTACAGTTCAAAATTACCATCTTCTCAAATCCTCAGTTTCGTCACATATAAAATGTGAGAATTGTTTATTCATTTGTTATAGTGATGAGTGAATGACAGAAAATACATGAAGCACTTACTGGGTTGGCTCATGCTCCCTCATGTCACTGAAGTTCTCTATCTCAGAGATGTTAAAATGTTCTTCTCCAATGTCCCTGCAGCCAGACCTTTGCAAACTCAGTTTTTTAGTTTTAGACTCTTATGTTAATTTTATTGCTCTTGCCCATGTTGATTATCATTTTCATTCCAGATATTTATCACAGCTTACGTGGACTATAGTCACTGCATCTTGGTGAGCCACTCTGTCTCCTCACTTCATCATCCCAGAGGGTTAAATACAGTAACATCTTACCTAGTTCATATTCTTTCTTATACCCCTTTTGCTGATTGAGCTCAACTGTAGCGTCTTAGCATCCATGGCCAACTACAGTATTGCCTCCCAATTCATTCCCTACTGTGATCTAATAAATGAAACTTCTTTTTATTCCTATGTACTTTTTTTATGCCTTACTTTGGCTCATACTGTTCTTTCTGCCCATAATATCCATTGTTACTCTCCATTTCTCATAACCTATCTCCATGTCAGTGCCCACAAACGCACACAGTATTGTTTTCCACTGGACTCTCAGAGCCTTTGACTTCCCTTCCCTTACGGTATATATCTTATCTTTTTCTAGGTTTATGGCTGTCAGTCATGTATCTGTCATTTTCCTTCTACTGTATGGTAAAGTCAATGTTGGGTAAAAATTTAGTCTTATTTACCACTGAGTCCCTGGGAGCAACTAGTACAGTATACATAGCAGGTAGCCAGTGAATAATTGTTTTATTGAATAGCTGCAGCTCAAAGAGCTTCTTTTTCCTGTAATTGTGTGTAAAGATGATGATATTCAGAGCATAAGCTTTAAAAATGGCTGTGCTCTATTGTCAACTGCCCTCTGGAGGAAGCATCAGAGTCACAGATAAGGTCAGACAGAACTCTGTGGAGGCAGAGGGGGAAACAGTTATGTTGAAAGAGCTTTTAGGATAGAAGTAGATATTAAAATTAAATGGTATGGATTTTGGTTTTCCGACTGGATTATAATAGTTTGGTCAATGTAGAGTCTGTCAGAAATGATCCATGTTTGTTCTAATTAGGCTTATAGATGACTGTAACACTTAATAACTTAGTTTGAACTTCAGTTTTACTTACCTATACCCATTACTCTTCATTGTTACTTCCAAATGAAGTTTTATTTTTTGCCACCTTATCTTTTATAGACAATATAAACTTTTCTTTTGTGCCAGCAAATTGCATAATTAACATGTAGAGGGCTGGTATAGTCTTCTGAGCTTTTCTTGGCGTTTCCATCGGATAATTACTTAAGTTGTGATCAGATTATTTCACTTTTGAGAAAACCGTTTGTGGCTATAATGGTAACCAGCATGAAAGGTGATTACTGTGCAGGCCTCTCTGCCTGTGGGCACCACTGGGATTAGAGTTGGTACAGGTTGGTATCCTCCATACCTAAATTTCCTCCTGGGCTTACAACACCAGCACCTAGGCCCATATGCTGCTCTTAGGATAACAGTTCAGTGTGCTGAGGCTAAAAATTCTTTTCTCATCTTGTAAATTGGGTCTCCTCTTCCTCTCCTGTCCACCTTGACCCTTTCCATCTTAGTGAGGCTAGTTTACCAAAGCCCATTTTTTTTTTTCTGCCACAACAATAAATCTGGCCATATGGCTGCCATGGAAGTTATACTTAATGAAGAAAAAAAAAAGAGTTCAGATTTAACATTTTGTACACATCCGTCGTTCTTTCAGCTATAAAGATCAAAATAATCAAAGAAAATGAAAATCTTTTAAAGACAGATATTACTACTTCCTCTAGGCTCAGGTTTTGTTTTCTTTTTGTTGATTGCCTGCTTGTTTTGTTTTCCTTTATTTCCTGTTGGTAGAGCATGAGAAAGGTATAAAAGAATATTTTGGGATCTGCCAGCTAGTGTCTCCCAGATTTCTATAGCCTGTTTTAAATACTATGAGAAGTAGTTAGACTGAAATTGGTTCTGGTGTTGTGAACTTATATTGTAAATAAATAGGCAGGGCGACGTGGATATCTTGCAAAGTAAAATTCAGTGATCTTGACTCCTCTGATTTAATATCAAATAAATCATCTTTTCATCTTTGGACTGTAAATGTAAGATTTATTCATGGAGTAGCTATTTATTGACTTTCTTCCTCCTACCAAGTACTGTTGTATGAGCCGAAGATACAGAAGTGAACAAAACTGAGTCCCTATTCTTATGAAGCTAACATTCTTGTGTAGCACACAGACCATAAACAAATTATAACATGGCAAGAGGATAGTCAGAGATGTGGTGGTAGGAAGGTACATTTTCATTTAGGAAAGTATTTCTGATAAGGTGACATGTGAGCAAATTCTGAATTAAGTGAGCGAGGGAACCATGTAGATGCCTGGAGGGAACATTTTGGGCAGAGGGAACAGTAAATGTGAAGTCCTGAGGTAGAAGTAAGCTTGGATAATGTAAATTTTTAAAATGTAATAAGAATCAAAATTCAATAAATTGAGTGTAATCACTATTCCAGTGTTTTATATTTGCCTCTAAAACTAAAACGTGTGCTAATTGAATCTCAGTTAACCTCCTAGAAATTAATTGGTTATTTAGAACAATTAGCAAAAACATTATATCAACCTTTAATCATTAAAATTTTACACAGAAATATCCTGGTTAATTATCTGTGCTTTGGTTGAGGCTTTATTGCATTTTTATAGTCATCTGTGCTCCAAGAATGCTTTCACATTTTTCTCTATTTCTTTTAATTAAGCTAAAACACCTGTCCTTAGAAAAGGCGATTCTTTTAGTCTAGGACCCTTTTAGTAAAAAGAGAAAAAGTATTTTTTAGAATCTCTTAAAATTGTCAATAGGTCTAACACAGCTTCTTTCAATGAGAGCAATACATGGCTACTGACAAATTAATATATAAAATGCCCATTGTATCATTGATGAAACCAGTCTCTTGGAAATTTTGGTAATTTTATCCTGGTGCTTGAATATTTTTCAAGACATAAATATTATTAATAGATTTCAGAAAATTGTTCAATATTAATAAAAAGCTGTATCTGATACCATATCGATGTAAGGTATCTTTATTTTTAATTCATTCTAGAGAAGTCTTGATGTAAAGACAACTCTAAAATGTCATTTATTCCAGTAAGCAGTATTTTTACATTCTTTAATATATGGAAATCTTTATCTCATTTTCAATTTTTTAATAATCCTTTAATTTTTATGATTGATTTAAAAAGAGAAAGGTCATTATATTTCACTTATTTTTGCTGTATGTTTTATTCTATCTGTAAAATAAAATATTTCCAAATATGAACTTTAATGCAATTATTTCACAGCCTGCTTTAAAAAATAGCAAAATCAATATTCTTGGAAATAAACTTCAGAATTCCAGATGGTTTAATATGTGCTAGTTAAGTAACCCCTCAGGGATCACATGGTTCCATGAGTCTGTGTCAAGCCATTGCCATTACGCCAACATCAATGGTGGTTGGAACAATCAAAGAGAAGAATGGCTTTGTTGAATATTGTGAAAACCAAAAATGCATGAATAATTTGTTGTGAGGGAAAAATATTTAAAGTGTGCAGATAATTATTTAAACAATTAATAGAAGGCAAGATTTTCAATGGTACAATGTAACAAAATGTGTTTTCTTTTATGTTTTCAGACAATCTATGATCTTTTTGTGAAATGACAGAAAACGAGTCACTTCCAAGGGTACCCATGATATATACCCATGAATGATATAGTAGGTAGTTTTGGAGTCTATCTCCCTAGTGTAAACCATAATACAATTTATTACTTAAGTAAAGCTGACTTTTCCCCATGGCAGAAGCAGCCAGAGGTAAATGTCCTTCATGAATTTCACTCAGTGCCTTTGCTTATTTAGTTTTCTCTCTCTCCTGTACCTTCAATGTCTCTTCTTGTATTTACTCTTTTTCCCTCTCCTTTTGACAACTCCATCCTCATTTGACTATTAACACTGTCTCCTATCCTTGACAGCCACATTTCTTAAAAGAATAATTACATTCATTGTTTTTACTTCAAGTGCCACTCCTTCTTCAACCTGTTATAATCTCCTTCCTAGCCATTCCAAAGGTTCTAAGGAAATAAGCTAGAATTTTCATCAGCAAACATAATACGCACATTTTTATATTTGCTTCTCTTATTGTTAGCAGCATTTGACTGTGGAATCCTCCTCTTAAAACCTGTCTTATCCCTCAATTATGGTAGCCTTACTTTCTCTTATTTGCTCTCCCTCTCTGGGTTGCTGCTTTTCCTCTTCCCTCAGCAACCCCATAAACTTGGTATTTTTAGGGTTCTGTTTATACCACCTCCCTTCCCTCTTTCTAAAATTCTCATGTTCTTCCGTAGTGACTTTATTTGTAACTGTGCCTTATTTAATGCTGCATACATAAATGACTTCTCATTCCAATACAGACCTTCCTTCTGATCTTGGCTATTATCTGTCAGTTCCCAAGCAAAGCCCGGGAGATGTTTCAGTATTCTCTCTAACCATCCATATCTAATCAGGTACTAAGTTTTCTTGACTTTACCTCCTGAATATCTCTTGACATTAGCTATCTCTCATATGTTATCTCCACTGGTGCCCTTAGTCATATCTACTCTCTATTAGAATAGTATAATTTCTGTAACATATGTAACACCTTGTTTTAAAAATTTGTCAGTGGCTATTTATGCATTAAGAACAAGTACATGTTGCTCAGCAGACTATTATATTATTTCTGGCTATGTTTATATTCTTTTGTCACTCTACTTTCATTAGCCTTAAGAAAGTCTGGTATATTAGTTGATTTATTAAGAGTAAAAGTTATGAAATCAGATTACTTGAACTCAAGTCTAAATTCTGTGTGAATTGCACAGTTATATAGTCCTCCTAAGCCTTTGTTTCTTAATAAAAAATATCATAAGAATAAAAGTATTTAATTCACAATATTGTTGTATTAAATGAATGCTTATTAGTATGCTTGGCACATACATAGGTACTCAAAAATGTTGGCTGTTGCTAATTATGTATGGTTTTCATGCTGTTTTATACTATTTCAAAATGTATGCCTTAGCATAAACCATATCCCCCATGCAAGAATGTACTTTCACACCTTTGTTTCATCATTTAAGATGTACCTCAAACATTTCCTCTTCTCTAAACCTTTTTCAAAGCACACCTCATCCCAGCTCCTTCCCGTTGACTCAGATTGCTATTGAAATGAGAGCTTTTGTGGTGTTTGAGCATTTCAGTCTCCTCCATGAGGCTCTAAGTTCTTTGGAGGCATAGCTGTGTCACATGCATGTCTAACCTGTCACCATTGCTCAGGTGAGGCTAAGACTGAGACTAAGTAGATTCTCAATAAGGATTTGAAGATAAAATGACGGACCAAATAAATTAATGAAAGGCTGGGACATATGTATGCACAAATTAAGTTTCACAGGACCATTTTTCCATACTTTTTTGCCATAGGAAGAGTTTTTGTACTTACTAATTGATTTTTAAAAATTTTAAAACTGTTTATGGTATTTTTCTGAATGCAGAAATTGACAGTTAATCCATTCTTCCTATCAATAAGATACAGTCCCCAGTTGAGTTTCTTAGTAATACATGAATAGAGAGCGTGCTAATAATATCACTGGTTTAGTATAAATATATAAGTAGTATGGTTTAGAAATTAATCAAATTTCAAAATTATTCACAAATCTCTGCCTTTACTTTGTATTACCTGAATATAGGCAAAGAGAAAAAAGTTGATTACAAACTAAATTGTTCCATTAGCCTTCTCATTTAACATTTTACACATTTTATATAGAAATAATTACACTACCATGTAACCCACTATACCTTGTACTGTGACCGACTATACCTTGTACTGAGAACTCTGCATAATATTAGAAAACATTAAATTGATATTATAATTATAGAAATCATCTGGTCAGTTCTTGTTTATATTTTAGAGATAGTGAATACTTTTTTAAAACGAAAGAAAGGATAAGCAGAAAGAAGATAAGAAGAAAAGAAAGAAAATGACCTTCATACTAAAGAAGTATGTATATTTATCAGGAAGAATTTTCTTGTCCAAATTTAAAGTCTGTGATTGATTGGTCATCTTTAAATCCTAAAATGTCCAAAGAACTAGAAGATCCTGAATAGTTATTTGGTTCTAAATATAAAGCACTTTGAAGATAAATTGAGAAAGACATAGGCTTTTAACAAAAGGGAAAAGAAACACTTGGGAAAATGAAATTTGCTTTCAGTGGCTTTATTTGTCATCAAACTGAGTTACTCCATAAAATAGGCCCACACTTATTCTTTCCTAGATGTAACTGACCTCTTATCAGAAAGTGTGCAGTATGTTTGAGATGAAAAAGTAATCTCTAAGCTATTGCATTGGTCATTAGCCCTTTTACAGCTATAAAATTGGAAGAGATTACAGATTTTCATCTTTTAGATCAACCATCAACAGAATGAGTGGGTTTCCATCTGCAGCTCTCATACTCCCTTCTAGACCTCTAAGCCCACACAATTGTGAATTGATTTGAAAGCTAAATTATTAACTCATTATACTAGCATCCATCCTAAGTTGGAGTTTGCTCACAGAAAAAGTAAGAAGAACATCATGATTCCCCTGTTATTAAAATGAAAACTGAACAAATTGCATAGTTCAGCATCTACAGGGACATATTTGAAGTTATTCAATTGGATTCATATCCATTTCTTGAATGACTGTGCAATAGCAGTGCTTTCTGCTTGTAGGGCTTTGGGAGAACATATGTGTTTCTATTTAGTTTACTTATAAAACTCTCCCAACAGGGATATTGTTCTCTATCCATGATACCCACTTAGGACAATAAGGCATTTGCGCATGGTTGATTATCAGTAAAAGTCAATACTTTAAAGGATAGCCTTGGAGAAAGCAAAGATAAATTTATAAATTTTAAGACACTCCTAAAAACCATTCTTTTACATAGGAAAAGAGGCTGTCTAAATGGACTTGTGTCTGATTTTCCACAAAAGTCTTTTGTCCATGCTGTCTTTTTATAAGTTTTAATATTTTGTCAAAACATGATAATCTCTGCAACATTATATATTGATTAACTAGAGTTGGCAATATAACATAGTGGTGAAGAGCTCAGATTCTAAATCAGTAATTGTCAGTAAATTTAACAATTATTTTTTTGATTCTGTGCGCCGTATGCTCATTTGATTCCTGGGGATATAAGGGGTAAGAGGCAAAAATTCTTGCCCTTATTTAGCTTACATTTAGGTGATAGGGCAGACAATAGACAATATAAATAAATAAACCATATGATATTTCAAATGGTGAAGTACTATGGAGAAAATAAGCAGCCAGGGAGAAGGGAAGGCTAGTGTGTTTTGGGGAGGCGTTTGGGGGATGGTGGGAATGATTCATTTCCACTTTGATTGATTTCTATTTTAAATCGAGTGGTCAGGGAAATTCTACTAAGATGGGAGGATTTGTTCAAAGACCTGAAGAAGGTGGTATTGCAAGCCATTTAGATTTCTGAGGAATAAGCATTCCCAATAGAGAGAACAAAAATCTTAGTGCTGTCACTTTCTGTGTATGAGACTGAGCAAAGATTCATGTTCTCTAAGCTTTAGTTTTCTGCTCTGTAATATGTGGACAATCCTAGTGCCTGCCTCAAAGGAATACTGTGAAAATTAATCATACCATTATATATGTATTAGAGATATATATTAAACACCGAATAAATGTTAGGTATTATATTGTTATTTGGAAATTTAGAGTTTTTCTTTTATATCACTTTATTCAACTCCTTCACCTATTCATTAGAGCCCTGTATGATTCCCTGTTTGAAATAGGCAGCTATAGTAGAAAATATTGTATTTTTTCCAGTGAGGCAAATACATGTTAAGTACTTAAGTGTTCAAATATTTGATAAGAGAAAAATTGCTCGTGTGTATATATATTTGTGTGTGTGTGTGTGTATATATGTGTGTATATATATATATGTATATATATACACGTATATATATATGTATATATATATACACGTATATATATGTGTATATATATACACGTATATATATAAATTGCTCAAGTGTGTATATATATGTGTATGTATGTATATGTACATACACTTATATATATACATGTCAAAAATACTTGTTTATACATATCTATGTAAATAAGTCGTTTTATATATATATAAACAAGTCTTTTTGATATGATCTCCTCTTTACTGCCATTTCCAACCGTCAGAAGCACATCTTCAGCTCTTCAGCTATCTTTCTGGATATTTGCTCCATATACTTCAAGTGGCATGCTTACATTGCTGATTCTTGATTTTTTCAATTTTACATATTACATGTTCATTTCCCACCACAAGAATTGAGGATTTGGCTCCTTTCTGCCATCGGATATGTCTGCTTTCAATGTTCCCATCTTACCAGTATAATTATGTCATACTTTTTGTTAGATCAGCATTGTTTGGTCATGTTGTGACTATAAAGTACTATCCACAGCTGTACCATACACATTTTTGGGTATCTTTGGCTTTGGTTCTTTTTTGTTATTAATGGTCTTTTTTTATTATTGATTTATTTGTTCACCACTTCATTCCTGAAATTCTCCCTTAGAAGTATAAATTTCGCTGAAATATGTTCCAGTCTGTCTCCTCTTAGTTGCTGCTTTTTGGAGATTTCCTTGCAGGAGCATTTCAACTAGCCATAGTCTGACCTGACTGTTCCCCAGGTCTGCTTCAGAGCAAACCTTCGTCACCATCACTTCCTAGAGACCCACTTTGCCTCACCTTCCCAGATGAATGCTGTTTCTGATACCCCATATGTTTCCTCTCCTTGCTTTATTCTCTTGTTTTAAGAGTGTACATATCCAAGAGCTTCCGGAGAAAAGGGGCAGGGGAGATATATTTGGACGCTTTTCACATCTGAATATCTGTTCCACTTACAATTACATAGTTACTGGATATAAACTTCTTGTGTGGAAGTAATTTCCCCTTAAGATTTAGAAGTTCTGCCTTTTAGCTTCTAATGTTGCTATGCAAGTATCTGATGCTATTCATATTTTTTAAAAGTTAAACATTTTATTTAATTTAAAACATACAAATACTCATTCATTGACTGGTATTTTAATTGTAAAGTCAAGATTATTTCTTTGAATATGAATCCCAGATTGAATTTTTTTGTAATCTCACATGAAAAACACCTATAATGTGTTATCTATAATTTGTTTCCTTTTCTTTAAAGTGGAGTGTATTATAGATTTTTCATTTATTGACGTGCCCCTTCCAATTTTGACATCCTTTTAAGTTATTCTTTGTATTCCTCACTGCTTACCTAGTGTTGTGCTATTCTGATAGCAGCACCAATAATTATACTTGTTTATTATTAATTTTTCATATTTTATTTTGCTTCTATTATTTGTCTTAGGTTGAATTATTCAGAAATAGAATCTGAGGTGAGGATTCAAGTAAAAGCAATTTATTAGGAAGTATTCCCAAGAAAAACTGCTAGGAAAATGAGAAAGTGGGCCTGGAAAGGAAGAAGTTCACACATGAGTATAATATCAAGGATAACCCTGAGGAAGCTTTGGAGACAGTGCAGAGCACACCTTAGAATTATTTGGGTCACTAGCAGCCAGCCAGGTTGGTTACTGCCCTGTGCATTTTAGTCATTGGTTAATGATTGCCCCAGAAGGGTGTGAGTTCCCAGGCTCTCAGGGGTCTTTGGCAGGATGGGATTCAGCAGCTGGAGATACCTTTCTATGGAAACCCATGAGTACTGGTGTTGAACTGAAAGCATAGCAGGTACTGGTGTTCATGATGATGGTTGAACATGAGGATGTATGAGCAGACTACTGACTGGATTTGCTACATTATTTTATAAAAATTAGCTAATAAGAACGAGAGGTCTTGTGAACCCAGTACAGCTCACACAAAGATGAGATGATAGTCACTAAGAATGCTGAAAGCAAGATTACTTTGGTCTCAATCAGGCACTCATTGCCCTTAAAATCACTTGGCTCCTATTTTTGATTATGGGGGAATAAAACAAACTAAGAGATGTTTGTAAGTGGTGGATATATTATCAAAATTATCTAAAAAGTAAGTGTGATTGATTCTGGAACTCTAGTATTTTTAGCTTTCCAGGAAATGAATCCTTATTATAACACCTGAAGTTATTACTGGACAATCATATATTCTTGTATCACACATGTTTTTAAGACCACCTTATTAATGTTTTAAAACAGTTTTTGTTGCGGGCTTACCTTGTGCTAGGTACAATTTTTGTTGTTGGAGTTAAAACTTTGAGCAAGATAAAGAAGGTCTCTACTCTGATGGAACATAAATTCTAGTGGGATGAGACCATGAACAAATAATGAGTAAACAGAAATATCTGCTAGTGATAAGTACTATAAAGAAAGTGAAATGGAATGAAATGATATAGATTTATGTTCAAGGAGGACCCCTCCTGCACTGAAGAGTTAATGTATAATCTAAGGCAGGAATTATAAGAAAGAGCCAAGTATGGGAAAACCTGAGGAAAAATTACTCCAGGGACAGGGAACTCTGGTACAAAGAGGAGTGAGGCTGGTGTGTTAGAAAATCCGAAAGAAGTTAATGTATTTGGAATGTCAGAGCAAAAAGAAAAGATCAGGTTCAAAGTTATGTAGGGCCAAATAATGAAAATCCTTGTAGGCCATGGGAAAGAATTTTGTGTTTCTTTCGCTTTAAGAGTCATGGGAAACCACGAGAATTTTAAGCAGTGTAGTGACATGATCTTTATGTGTTTGAAGGTTTCTCTGAAAGCATATTTGGAAAATGCAGGCAAGAGTAGAGAAAGGGAAACTTTCTAGGAGGGCATTTCTTTATACTGAGACATCATATTGAAGTCAAAGAGAAATAAGCAGATTCTGAAAATTACTTGGGGGTAGAATTGACAGGTTATATTGATGGAGAATATAAAAGGGACTGAGGAAAGGTAAACTCTTAGATTCCTAGGTGTTTGTCAGGAGAGACTAGATGGATGGTTGGACCATTTTCTGATCTTTCCTTATGCCTGTAATTATCAAGTACGGTTGATTTTAAGCAGCATTTGCCGTTCTCTTCATTGTGTCTAGAGTTTAGCTATAGGTAAATGCACATTGTTCATTCAGACCTTTGTGCTTTGTGACTGATGATTTTTGGCCTTTTCCTGGTTTATTTATTTACTTATTTATTTATTTTTGGTTAAAACAATGTTTTGACATACAGGAGAAGCAAGAAAAAAAATCTGCTAATATTATGCCATCTGCTCCTTTTTAATTTCTTTCAAGGAAATTCTCCAAGGGAGTGTCTTGTCTCATTGATGCCCATTTTCTTGTCAAAGACCATTACATCCCAGGTTTTCACACTAACCTGTCCTGTGGCCATCAGAACTGGCTTACTGGAGACATCTTTTTCCATCACGGAGAACACTTAGCTGTGTATCCTGCCAGACTTCTAGGAAGGAGATGCTTTCCTTGCCTCTTCTGCTGAATTCAGGCTGAATTCCTAAATTCTGGTTTGTGACACCATTGTATTATATTGTATTTGTAACTCAGTAGATTCATTATCTATTTCTG